AAGGAAAGGTTATAGCGGTTACTCAGCCTCGTCGTGTTGCTGCTGTTACTGTTGCAAAACGTGTGGCAGAGGAATGTGGTGTTGAGTTGGGCCAAAAGGTCGGCTATTCCATTAGATTTGATGATATGACTTCCAACTCAACTAGGATCAAATACATGACAGATGGATTGTTGCTGAGGTAAATTATATCTTTGTTAGTTCTATTTGTTATCATATCAGCAAAACCTTTTTTCTATTGACGAAACGAGCATGCCTGGATTAGGTTGTCTTTGAATGCATCCCCAGAACCTAGAAAGATCTTTTAGATGTAACGTGTAAGTTATTTATGACTTTACCAATAGAATTATTGTAATTCGTATTCACGGATTGTGTTTACCGACTTACCGCATAAAAGGGCTTAATGGCCTGGTCATTCTCATCCTGCTATTCAGGGTCCCTTAGTGAAGGGGTATGTGCATATTGTTATAATATTATTAATATGTCATTGTTGAGGGTACTTGCCACAAATGGAATAGTCTTTTGCTTTTTTAAAAAAAATTTTAAAAGTGTGTACTGGGTCAAATGGATCTAGAATTTTTAGCTTTGAGAGATTATTGAGGAGCTTTGAAAACGGTACAGTAGCTTTCAGCTGGTATATAATGTACTAACTTAAGGTACTATGTGTTTACAGGGAGGCCTTGCTGGATCCATTTCTCTCTAGATATGCAGTTATCATTGTTGATGAAGCTCATGAGAGAACAGTCCATACGGACGTGCTCTTGGGTTTGTTGAAAAATGTACAAAAAGCAAGGTCACAATCTAGTGGTCAACAATGCAATAGTGAAAAAAAGAAGTCCCATAATAATAGTGCAATGGATGACAATGAAAACAGCCAATGCTTCAGTCTTCTGATTCCATGCCAGGGCACAAAATATCCTCCTCTGAAATTGATTATTATGTCTGCCAGTTTGGATGCAAAAGGATTTTCAGACTACTTTGGTGGTGCTAAAGCTGTACACATTCAAGGGAGGCAACACCCTGTAGATATACTTTATACTCTTCATCCTGAGCGTGATTTTTTAGAAGCAGCCTTGATTACTGTTTTTCAGGTAGTTTGTCAACATCATAGACTATGTTTGCATCTCATATGTACTATTGACTACTCTAACATTTGTTATTGATTTTATTATCCTTGAAATTGGCTGCTCTACATGATCGACTATCTTCAAAACATTTCCTTTAGAGTTCTGTTAGCTTTCTTATGCTCATCAACAAAGGTTTCAAATACTATTTAAAGAACTAATTTCTGTTGAAATTTTTCAACACAGAAACGTATGCCATAGGGGGGAAATGAAATTTAGGGTAGAGAGGGAATATAAAATTGCACTGCTTGACATTGAGAACTTTGCGTTAGAACTGGCACCAGGGGTTCTACTTACAGTATGTGAATGCTGCAGCACTATGAATTGCAAGACCTGGCACTTCATGTACTGGCCTTTAATGCAACTTGATAAAGTAACCTGTACTTTGATTGTAAAAGCTAATGAAGACAAGGGACATAAATTAAGTGTTTGACACCACTTACCTAGAATCTGATTTATACACTTTGGTTGTACATAACTACAATAAATTTATGTAGAGATTAACTGCATCGGAGTTCTTGCATTCAAGTTTGACACAACATCTTACAAGCTCCTAATATAGATGATTTGAATATGAATGTATCTCAGTTGTAATAAGGAATTAAAACTTAAAAGTTCACCTTTTGAGAAGATTGTGTTATGAAGTCTTTTCTATGGAGTGCTTATAACTGCTTACCCAAACACAGTTGTAGTTTTTGTCAAGTTTTCACAGTCCCTTTGAGATCAAACATCTGACAAAAGATTGACTCATCCAGTTGAGTTTTTGAGCACTTGTGACTTTGTGAGGTTTTTGAATGTTGTTTGTTAGCAGTTGTTACTATTTATGTTCTCTATGTTGATTTCATAATTTAGAATATAATGTCTTTTATTACTAGATTCATTTGGAGGAGGGTCCTGGCGATATACTTGTATTCTTGACTGGTCAAGAAGAGATAGAATCTATGGAAAGGCTTGTCAAAGATCGAGCTCAGCAATTACCTGAAGACAAACATAAAATTCAAACTGTTCTTATATTTTCGTCTCTTCCATCAGAACAACAAATGCTAGTATTCAGGCCAGCTCCATCTGGTTTTCGAAAGGTACTTTCTGATGCTAAAATTTTCCATTCATTTCACCCATCAGGTGGATTAAAGGGTTATTAAGTTGCTTGGTTCTTGATTCCATCTCATTTCAGTTCCATGTTGAGTGCTTGGTGCAGAAATGATTAGTCAAAATTTGTGTCTTTAAGTTAGAAAAAAAAAATGGATTTCCATAGACATGAATAATCTTAATGTCTTGGGACCTTGCCTCAATTGAAAAAGGAGAACACATAGCTAAAAGAAAGCTCTGTTGTTGATCACAAAGCAACCTTTTTGCAATGTGTGAAAAGAATGTGTAAAATCCTTCATATGGAAATCTAAGACTATATTTTCAAGTCTAATTGATTTGTAATATCATTAAGAGGACAGACTCGCAGATGTGACTTCGGGTATTCAATTAATATTTTCTTAAAAGTCGTTTAGAGCATTTCTCAGATATCAGATAATGCTACATTGTATTGCAGCATGAGAAATGACATCTTGATAAATGTTCAATGAGTTACAAATTAGAGTTTTGACATTTTTCAATCTAAAAATGGAACTTTTTTTTGGATAGAAATTGGAGATGAAGTTAGGAGAACAATTTTGTTTGTGGTAACTGGTAACCGTCTTCAAAAAGATTGGTGCACTGTTGCTAATTGGTAGTTCAAGTTATAGACTTGAATTGTATGCTATAATTCCTTCCTGATTAACTTGCAATTGTATATCATCAAAATTAGAAGAATATTTCTTATGTTTTCTTGGCCCCTGTCTCATAGTGCTTGTGTTTATTTAACTTTTTCATGAAAAATTGAGTTGAATTGTTGCTTTGCTGTATCATTTCTGTGTTATTGTTATTTGAGAACATCTTTTCCCCTTTTTTTACATCATATCAACTTTTCAACGTTTATGATTATTCTTGTAGCAACTTGCTTTTGTTATCCCTTTTCCCCCAAAAGTTATTATGTATCAAGCTATAACCACACTAATGCATAAATTACAAATTTATATTCGTGTAGGTTATTCTGGCAACAAATATTGCTGAGACATCGGTAACTATCCCTGGCATTAAGTATGTCATCGATCCCGGAATGGTTAAAGCACGCTGTTACAATCCACGCACAGGGATGGAATCTTTGATTACTATTCCAACATCAAAAGCACAAGCTCTTCAGAGGAGGTAGTTATGCTGAGCCTTTCATATGTGCAGCTTAAATCAAACTTTACAGCTCAATTCTAGCTTGTTTATATTCTACATAACAGGCAATCCCACAATGACGATTGGACATTGCCTTGTGTTTGATACTGCTAAGTTGTACTTTTGCATTTCAAAATTTTCATAAAAAATCAGGACTACTCATTCAATGAAAAAAAGTCCTATTTTTCATAACTGTTATACACTTTTATTAAAGTAACAAACTCTTTAGGTGTTTCGGATTTTACACTTAGATGTGCTCGTGTTATACATGTAATGTTTGCATGTTTTAACATCTTATCACATTTTGCCTTTTATAATGTTCTCTTAATGCTATTAATTCCATGAGAAATCAATTTAGTAACATATTAACCCTCAAGTAATCTCCATGTGGATTCATCAAGGCAAATAATCACATACAAAATTTGTAGACAATAACCTGTCCGTTGTTTACTTAACATATAACTAAGGCTTATATTTCAAACCCACTGAATTGATCCTTACTGTAGATCTCCTTTTCTTATTTGTTCATGTACAATGATCCATTGGACTATAGTGAAACTGGACGTGCTTGATATGATGATCATATGGTAATGGTGGAAACATAAAACGATTAACATGTCTCTAATGCAGTGGTCGTGCAGGGCGTGAAGGACCTGGGAAGTGTTTCCGCTTATATCCGGAGAGTGAATTCGCTAAACTTGCTGATTCCACTGTGCCAGAGATCAAACGGTGCAACCTGTCTAATGTTATTCTACAGCTCAAGGCTCTAGGGGTTGATGATATTATTGGGTTTGACTTCATGGAAAAACCATCAAGGTAAAACAAAGAAAACCATGAAAGGAATCTCTTTTTAATTTTTGTTTATATTATTTTTCCTGCTACAACATTTCTGGTCAAAAGTGTATTATTATTTTTTTCTTCTGAGCTTGACTGTCAAAAATCCTGCATAAGCTTTATCTTCTTTGCTGTCTTTATATAGTATGGGGTGCAACCGTGCAAAAGATCACAGAAATTTTTATGATGTAATGTATGTCCTGTAAATACTGGTGTAGCAACTGACTAAAATGATTAAACTTGACATTTTTTGCACAAAGAGTCACCCGATTATAATTGCCAACTTCATGGATTACTCTCTCGAAAAAGGATTATGTTGTTCTGTTATAATAATTAGCATTTGTTTTACCTGAATAATATAGATTTATTGTATAGAAATTGTGTTTGAATCTTCGACAATTGAACAGGATGGCTGTTGTCAAATCTTTGGAGCATTTATTCTTGTTAGGAGCTCTGACTGATGATTATAAGCTCTCTAATCCGGTTGGGAACCAAATGGCTCGGTTACCCTTGGACCCTATTTATGCAAAATCTCTGATCTTAGCTAGCGAGTTCAACTGCCTGGAGGAAATGCTGATAACTGTTGCAATGCTTTCGGTGGACTCAATATTTTACACCCCTCGTGAGAAGATAAAAGAGGTATGTTGAAGGTCTTTCTGACACCTAGTTCCATCACCTATTTACAACTGCAGTGTTTTTCATTATGGATTTTGCATGACATAGTGTTCCGAAACAACTCGAACATTGAGTATTATCTTGGTTTAAGTGTTCATGGTATTAATATAACGCAGCTGCGCGGTGAACACAGAGTGAACTATTCTTTCACCTCTTACTAAAGAATACCGTGTCTTTGCCACATTAAGCAGCATACGCCTATTTTTGGAGGATTTACCATTGACGCCATTAACAGTGGTTCCTATATATAAAAAATAAACAAAAAAGATTCATGGTATATAATATGATGAGTGAGTTCCCACTGTCAACACACCACCATAAAAGATTAGTTGCAAAGTTTCTGTGGAGTGGCTTTATCCTAATCAAATTGAAAGCAGTTTCAGTCTATGTGCACATACCTTTTTGAGGATAACTGGACACCCTTTTTTGAGAGGTAACGAGCATAATATTTAATAAAAAGATTCAACACGAGGTCACCAAGGGATGAGATATCCCTGGCTAAAAAACAAATAACGAAACTACAACATCAAGGTTCAAAGAGAACAGACTCCCATGAGAAAACAAAGGAAGTATAAGGCATCTCTCCGTAGTCCGTCCATTTCTTACTCCAAAGTCAGAAGAGACCTTTGATGTCAAGGATGGTGAGTGCAACATCCTGCTAGATGTTGGAAATAGCTCTGATTCTGCACCAACCAGATGCCCAAAGGATCGCAAAACGAATTATGACCCAAAGTTTCTTCCTCACCCTAGAGGAGGACCCTAATTGACGCCACATCAAGTGGTTGTCACTGGCCAATTAGGGATGCACCCACTCCAAAGAAGCATACTGATGAAATAGCCCCACACAGAGTAAGAAAAGCGACAATGAATATGCAAATGACTGACAGGCTCCCCAGCCTCATAAGATAAGGGACAAAAATCAACACTAATCTACCAAACCTATGGAGGTTATTTGTGGTCAAGATTTTCCCAAGGCTAGCACACCAACAAAAAAAGGCTACCCTGGAAAGCACTTTGGCCTCCCAGCAGTACTTCGGCCAGGGGATATAGGATGAGGTAAAGGAACAGGGACTTGATGATATTCTCATTGAGAATAAGCAAATAATGGACAGCGGACACTTGAAAATGCATTGTTGATTTCTCTCCAAAATTCTAATGATGACGTAAGAACTTGTAAAACATTCACAAGATACCTCGTAAGCAAAACAATTGGATCAGTAGGTTCTTGAAATCGCTGGACTATCATATGATTTTTGTTGTTTCCCAAAATGCAAGATTAGTGAACGGATGCTTCCCATGCTGCATTTTCCTTCAAGTGGCACCTTTATGCCTCATAGGACCACTGAACATAACTTGATTTCTAAAATCAATCAGTGGAGGTGTTGCAACTCTTAAACCTTGTGTAGGAGATGTTTTTTCTCCAAAACATGCCATATTGTGAAGTTTACTAGCATTGAGAATATCTCAATATCATTATTTTATATAAATGGTAGCATTTGCAGTTCTACTGTTTTTCTTTTGATTATCAAAAAATAATGCACCCACTTCCCTAAAAAAAAAAAAAAAAAAAAAA